TTCATTATGGATGGAGCTCAGAGTTCAGGAGAGGCGTGGCAAGAAATAAGGCTGGGCAGATACTCAGGGCCAGATCTTATTTATTCTGGATTTTGTAGTTTAGTAAATATATATATTCAGGGCCCTTATTCCCCTTATGGTAGTTACGAAATTTTTTTCAAGATGCAGATGTAACTATAAAACATGTCTAATCCCAGAGAGAAAACATTTTCACTACTATAAGGATTGCTGGATTCTGCCCAGGAGTGTTTACTAAGTGTTAACAATGACTTTTAAAGTTTTCATAGGATTCCAGCCAAATAAGGTATTTCCTATGAATATGGCATCTTCTTAATGATTCACAAGACAAAACAAGAAGCATATTTTCAAATACTGATTTTCCAATTAACTATTAATTGAAAACATTAAAAAGGACTGGAGTTCCCAGATTTTTTTTATTCTAAGGTGTGTGTAGGACTCTAGCCACATAGTAGAGTTAACATCCACCCAGCATTCACCATAAAGAAAATGATTTTCACCTTTTTGGTGTTGCAAGACCGAACTACCTACCCAGAACCTGTCAGATAACACGTCTGAAACATTTCAGGCTGGGATGTGAACAGTAAGCCATGACCCCTGTTTATGATTCAAGCAATTGTGTGAACTTTTCTCCAAGATATATTAACGCTTTTACTCTCTTGTTTTTCTTACCATCTTGATAACTTGTATAAATAACTAATCTCCTTAGCTTGATGATGAAATCCTCTACAATCTAGTTTAGGCTCTAGTTCTCAAGATTCTGCCAAGATTCTGTTTCCCTCTCCCCAGACACCTCGCCCTCCAACAAAACCATATGAGATGGAACAACCTCAGCCATACTGGATTATGCAGAGATGCACCACAGTGGTGTGGGGAAAGCTCTGAGCTTGGACTCAGAAAACCTGGATTTATGTCCTGGCCACCCCACTCCCAGTCTGTATGACCTTGTACAAGACACTTAACCTCGATGAACCTCAGTTTCTTTATATGTAAAATGACTGCTTAGTTCACAAGATTGTTGGGGAAAATCAAAATTAAGTAAAGGATATAAAAACTCTCTGTGGAGTGCAAAGCCCAGTACCAATATAAAGTATCATTATTTTTCCCACAAATGACACCCCAAGCTTTCCCACATCTTTAAACAATGCTGGTCCCCTTGCCTGGAATTTTCTTATCAGTCCTAACTACCATCTCTAACTTTTGAAAGCCCTTTACTCCTGCATGAATTCAATTCTGACCTATTCAGTAAGATTATTTGTTATATATATATTTATACTGTAAAGTCAGTTGCACTCCACCTGTATTATAATTGCTTGTATACTTGTCTGTCTATACTTCCTGTACTATAAATCTCTATCAGGTATGAGTCTAAACCCAACATTTTTCTAGCCCTCATGTCACCCAGCACAGCTAGTTCATGGTAGAGAATGAACTAATTCATTTATTCTATGTTTTCACCTGCTTAATACATACAATGCTTAAATTGATTTAGTTAGTATTACTGTGGACCTTTCTTTCTGTGCCATTTTCCACAGAAATTTCCCCTTAAACAATAAATTGTACTAGGCAGTAGCAGAAGTTAGTGCTCTTATCACAGGGATGGATATTCAAGCTGATAATGATTAGATGGCATTTTTCTTTTGATATCCCCTAATTATTAGGAATTGAACCACTGGCCAGCCGAATTTTATATCTGATGACCAGAATGTTCCAGAAAGATCTGTTCTTCAGTCATTTTCTGAGCATGTTACATGCCAGTGGGGAAAGCTAGTGCTGACACTATGGAATATTTATGGAATTCTTATTCTGCATTATTATTGTGTAAGTTAAAATGCTGCATGCTCATATAAAAAACATTTACCCACTAAAAGTGAATGGGATTAATTTTCTCTCACTCAGCTCCAGAGTTCATAACTCTGGTCTTCCCAGAGGCCAAGCTCCCATGGATATGGGGGCAGAAATTTGGGAACAGGTTGCATGATTAGTTGATGTCATACCTGTCCCAAGAGTTGTATTCTCATTTTCTCTATTTGAGTTAACTTTGCATTTTATCCCCTTCAAGTGTCAGTTCAACTGATTTACAAGCTCAGAGACCATCATCCTTTCCCATGGACTAGACAAACCTGGATTACTTTTCCACCTCTTGCCCCTTGTTCACAAGCAGCTGATGCTTGTGAAAAAGCATCATCTTGATGCTTGAAGTCTGCTGGTGTAGTCGGGTTCAGAGATCCATTCGTCCCCTTGGAAGCTCTCAGCTTCCTAAAGGAGTCACACATTGTGCTAAAGAGACTTTCTGAGAATATACCCAAAAGGCAAGGGCTGGGGAGGCATAAACCACAGCTTCAAGGCCAATGTCAGGAGAAGTGAAGACATTTTCTTCCCCATATCTATAAAGATATGCCAAAATTTACATCCCCCTGTTTTTTTTTGTTTTTGTTTTTTTTGTCTTTTTTCCGTGTCCGGCAACGGATCGCAACCCTCAGTGTTGCCCCCGTACCGGACCGGGGACCGGCAACGGGATCGCAAGCCTCGAAACAATAAATTGTACTAGGCAGTAGCAGAAGTTAGTGCTCTTATCACAGGGATGGATATTCAAGCTGATAATGATTAGATGGCATTTTTCTTTTGATATCCCCTAATTATTAGGAATTGAACCACTGGCCAGCCGAATTTTATATCTGATGACCAGAATGTTCCAGAAAGATCTGTTCTTCAGTCATTTTCTGAGCATGTTACATGCCAGTGGGGAAAGCTAGTGCTGACACTATGGAATATTTATGGAATTCTTATTCTGCATTATTATTGTGTAAGTTAAAATGCTGCATGCTCATATAAAAAACATTTACCCACTAAAAGTGAATGGGATTAATTTTCTCTCACTCAGCTCCAGAGTTCATAACTCTGGTCTTCCCAGAGGCCAAGCTCCCATGGATATGGGGGCAGAAATTTGGGAACAGGTTGCATGATTAGTTGATGTCATACCTGTCCCAAGAGTTGTATTCTCATTTTCTCTATTTGAGTTAACTTTGCATTTTATCCCCTTCAAGTGTCAGTTCAACTGATTTACAAGCTCAGAGACCATCATCCTTTCCCATGGACTAGACAAACCTGGATTACTTTTCCACCTCTTGCCCCTTGTTCACAAGCAGCTGATGCTTGTGAAAAAGCATCATCTTGATGCTTGAAGTCTGCTGGTGTAGTCGGGTTCAGAGATCCATTCGTCCCCTTGGAAGCTCTCAGCTTCCTAAAGGAGTCACACATTGTGCTAAAGAGACTTTCTGAGAATATACCCAAAAGGCAAGGGCTGGGGAGGCATAAACCACAGCTTCAAGGCCAATGTCAGGAGAAGTGAAGACATTTTCTTCCCCATATCTATAAAGATATGCCAAAATTTACATCCCCCTGTTTTTTTTTGTTTTTGTTTTTTTTGTCTTTTTTCCGTGTCCGGCAACGGATCGCAACCCTCAGTGTTGCCCCCGTACCGGACCGGGGACCGGCGACGGGATCGCAAGCCTCGGTGTTGCTCCCGCGCCTCGCTCAGCCAGTGAGCGGGAACCGGTCTGTACGTGGGATCCGAACCCTCGGACGGGAGCGCCGCCGCGCTTCCCAAGCGGGCGCACTATCCAGTGCGCCACCGGGCCGGCCCTACATCCCCCTGTTTAATGAGGACATTATTTTCCTTTTCTTAAAAGAATAAAATCTCCAAGGCTGGAGCTGATAGTTGCTCTAAAAGGAAAGCCTGCATAGGAAGAGGATGGTTCTAGGGGTTTGGGCTCACCTGGCCTTCAGGATGCTGGCCTCACCCTTAGGATATTCAGCACGTAGTTGCTCCCAGTCCTTGTAGAGGTGCAATGTCCTCACCTTTAAAACTCAATGTATTGGTTAAAGCACAGTGCTGATAACAGCAAGGTCAAGGGTTTGGATCCCCTTACTGGCCAGCCACCAAAAAAACAAAAACAAAAACCCAGTCTACTACAAAAACCATGAAAACCCCTCTCCTTGTTTCTTTCTGCACTGTAAAAGGAAATAATAAGTAAAACCAAACAAAAACAAAATTACAAAAAATAAAGCACCATTAATTACAGAAAAATAATCACTGCCTTAAAATAGTCAAAGTGCCAAAGCAAAGAGTCTTTTGGGTTTTTTTTTTTTTTTCCTATTCCCATAAATACCAGTAAGAGCAGCAAAGAACATTTCCATGGCCCCAGGAATCCTTCATCTACAGTAGCTACATCCTACGTGCGTTGGCATCGCTTTGCTTTACCTGGTTCCCATCCCCAACAGGCTGGGCTCTACATTGTCCTCCGGCTCGGTAAGAGCAAGTGTGACTTGCCTCACTCAGTGATTAAAAACAAAATCCTTATGCAAAGTCCCCTGGTTCCCACTAGATAGGTCCTGCTATCCTGTGATCGGAGAGAGAGAACCATTTCCCTGATTTCAGAACAGTAATAATTGGCACTTCTGAGCCTCATTGAGCAACCTAGCTCCTCCAAGTCCAGATTGTACACTGCACCCATATCTAGCACTTTCTATGATGTGAATTCCCTCTCAGCACTCAGAAAAAATTGTCTTGTACTTGTCCTGGAACACACAGTAGCACACATCATAAGTACCCAAGACGCACACACAAGAAGAATTAGCCCACAAGGAGGTAAGAGAAGTGTTCTGCTCCGGTTTCAGCCGTGGGGACAGCACTAGAAAACAAAGAAAATGGGAGAAGAAACTACACCCTACTGGGAAGCTGGAAGAAAATCTGAAAACATTCAGCAAAGAGTAGATAAACAAAGGAAATGACTTGGGGTAAATAACCGAGAGCTCTGAGTCAATGAACATCACAGACGGGTACAGAAAATAACCAGAGGGGACGAGCTGGAAAAGGGGAAAGCACTGAGAAAGAACAGGGGGAGCTCAGTTATGTGCGGCTGATGAACGTCTGGGGTTGTCTGCCAGGGGGCAAGGCGCTGTAACCATGAAAGTTCTAGATGAAACTGACACCGGGGCCTGAAGGGCAAAACATCTGCAAGTACAAAGGCCAGCCGCCAGCCACCAGCCGCCAGCCACCAGCAGCCAGCCGCCAGCCACCAGCAGCCAGCCGCCAGCCGCCAGCCGAGCAAGCAGCCAGCAGCAAAGGGAGGGTCCCAAGTTAGTGAGATTTTAAATAGGATCCATCAACTCAGGACGGAGAGCCCCCGCACCCCTGTACAATACAAGCAAGGGTGGGAATTAAGAAGGTAGGAGAGGGGCAGGGGCAGGAGCAGGGTCGGGAGTGGGAACCGACGGCTCTATCTTATGCAAATGAAAAATGGCACAGAAGGACAACTGCTAAGACTCAGAATAGGCAAGTCAATGCTTCTGTCAAAGGAGGGGAAGTAAGAGGTCGCCCACCGTGCCCCGTATGATCAAAGTAATAATAATAGCAGGGTGGTAGAGTGGTGGTGGTGGTGTCAGGTTTCTGTGCCCTTCACCCAGAGCCAGCTCCCTGGGTTTTCCCAATTCTCCTTGAAAACTTGTACCTCCTGAGAGGTACTTGGCCTCTCACTCCCAGGAACATTATTTCTTCAAATCTGTCCTCCTCTCCTCCTCTCTAGCTTTCCACCCACCCTCTTGTCTTCCTCGTCATCTGAGTATCTCCTGCCTAAAGCCATGTTTTAATTGAGTGCTTCTACCTAGGAGTTTTTTTAAATACCTGTACCAGATCCCACACCCAGACCAATGAGAAGCTCTGGGAGCGCAGCCCAGGCGTGGGTGTTTTTTAGACACACCCAGGGAGTCCAATGTGCAGCCAGGACTGGCAACCACTGATGAGATCCTGCAGTTCAGAACCCATCTCAAAGGCTGGTACCCAGGTGGCTGGGGCTTTTCCCACGGGTTCTGCGTGTCTGCTGCCTGTAATTTGTGAGATCTTTTCCAACCTCCATAAACTTCCAGAGACTGAACGGATCTCTGTTTGGTAACTCCTAGTCTAAGTGGGTGACCGTGTACTGCACCATCAAATCCCTCAGGCTGCTTCCAGAGCTGATAGCCTGGCCTGAAGGATTTGCTGGGATTCCTACAAGCTAATTCTCTTCCTTAGGCGAAGAGTAGGGCTGAGGGCATATCTAGTTCTCAGGGAGCTGAAGACCTTTAGTTTTCTACTGAAGACCGAGGGTGTTAAGCTCACTGGTGCTCCTGAGTTGTCAGAGTAGACCAGGAACAAGTAATTGGCCTCATTGTATTATCCACCCAGGGCCTCCCGGAAGCTCAGGCCTCAGCCTTCTTCAGCTTTCCAAAATGTTCTGGGGATGAGGTTTAAGAAGTCCAACCCTCCTGAGGTGAAGGCCACTTAGGAATCCCTTACATCCTTCTCCCCAGGGGCAGGGTTCGAGGACATTTATTTCTAACCAGACTGAAACCCTTGCTGGTCAGTGCAGGGCCCATGGATGGAGACAGCTTTGAGAGGGGGAGAGCCTCCAGTCTTGGGTAGGCTTCCCCTTACGCTCAGTTCAGAAAGAACTTCCTGAGGCCTGAGGGTGTCAGACACTGGGTGGGGATGTAGGGGAGGGCAGTGGGCAGGGGCTCAAAGATGAAGTGTCCTGAGGGAACTCACTGTCTGGGCTTCTAGGATTCCCAGAACCAGGTGTAACCATCCACATGGTTTGGCAATAAGAACCCTCCTGTGGAACTTTCTGCACCCAATTCAGTACCTGCAGCATAGGAAAAAGACCAACAATTTTAATATACCGGATTTAAGGTGAGTCATAGTCCAGACGGTACAGGCCCATGAGATGTGGGAAACGTATTCCCAAGGCTGCATTAACATGAATGAGAGATACCCACATGACTAGGGAGTTTCCCTTCAGAAAGGCACTCTAGCTAGAGTCAAGTAAAACTCAAACCAAGTAAAACTCTGGCCTGCTAACTTAACTTGTGTGAACATCAGCCAGTCTGGCATTATGATGGTAGTTGAGTATTCCAGCTTCCATGAGAACTCTGCTGAGTAAGTTCGTTCATCCCTTGGCAACGTTGCTGCCACAGCCATGTTCACTCATTCACTGCAGCTGCCAGAGTGAGCTCAACACCTTCCACACCTGAACACGGTTTCACATCCTTCATAGATTTGCTTTACCCAATGCAGGGTCCCTCCAAGGACGACCCAGACCACGTGTACCAGAATCACCTGTGGGTGGGAACCACACCCTGGAGTCAAACACTTGTCAGCACCCCATTTTTTCTTGTGCTAGACCCATACAGGGAAGAGAGAAAGAATAAGAAAACATCATCAAATAGATTTGTTTGCTGGTAACAAATTGCAAGAAGTAACTTTCCGTTTATGCTCCATGGTCAGTTCAAACTTGTGATGATTTTGAGATAGTGCAAGATTCCCAATCATCATAGAAAGACATCTGAGTACTATATCTGCTTGAGAGAAAATATACTAATACACTCTAGGACTTTCAGCATCAAAGATTGGAGCCAAAATGGGGAGTCTCATTAACCCAGAGGTAACTAAGAGTCAGCCAGGAAATGTAATTAACAAGATCTGTGTGCGCTGTCACCAGGGATGAATTGGATTGGATGGTTTACTCTCAGGTAGACTGCCCATGCAAATAAGTGGCTGGTGGCTAAGCAATGCCTTAGCGATCCACTTCTCTGCCTCATCGAGAGTGGGGTGGGGATGGGCCAGGTAGTCAGCAGCAAGCAAACGGAATTCCCTCCAGAGAAGCAGCCTGTGGTGGGAGGAAAAGCCAAGGCTTTCTTCCTTCCATACAAAAAAAGCCCACATACCTTCCCAGAGCTAAACTGTCAAGTAGGAAGTGTTTGCCTTGGCACCACTGGTCCCCCATCTATATCCTTTCTCCTCTTCCCATGAGGTTCAGTGCCTCCTCATTGCCCAGGCGATACTTCAAATTCAGCAAATCTAAGCCCAACTCCATCCTTTCCCCATCTGCAATCCAGTGCCTTCCCCAGACTGATATCCCTGCTTCTGTTCATGGTGTAGCAGTGTCCTCCAACCTTTTAGACTCGCAACCTTTATCTCGTTTCCCCTCTTCCCCACATTCAGTCAGTCACTGGATAGTGTTAGTTCTTCCTGAATAATCTCAGCTCTGCCCTTTTTCTCTGTATTCGCAGTGCTACAACTATGATTTAGGCCCTTAATCTCTGACATATCCCAGTCTTACCGCAAAGACCTCCAAAATCATCTCCAGAAATGCCACTTGAATCATGTCACTCCCACACTCAGACACACCCTGTATTGTGAAGTCCCACCTCATCTGCCTTCCGCTGTGTTCCCCAGACACGAATCTCAGCTCCTCTCCTGTTGTACAGCCCTCTCCGCAAGCCAGCCCGGTGTGCTTGCTGGTCCGGGGCAGGCTAGCATTTTCCTGCCTGCACACCACTGCTCAGGCAGGTACCTGCCTTTCACCTTCTTTGATGAAAGTCCTACTTCTAAAATAAAAAATAATAGCTAATACTTACTGAATATTTACCCCGTGCCAGGTATTATGCCAATTGCTGTGTCTTGTTTGATCCTTCTGATAGTCTAATGACTTATAATCTAATGACTTAGTTTACTCATCTGTTCCACAGATGAAATGAATTCCTGACTCCAAGTTCATGCTCTTAACTCACTATAGTGTATTATCTTCCCAGCATTTTGTTCTCAGTCTAAATGTGCTAACCCTCCACCACCCCACCCCAGTATATTATACCTAGAGAAGAGAAGCCTCTTCTTACACACTTTAATGTTTGAGAGGGCCCCATCATTATAAACTATTAGTTCTTTATTCATTCTAAAGTATAAATTACTAACAGTAGCTACAATAACCAGATTAATTTACCTTAAACTAAAACCCTAAAATTAAATCTGGCCTGAGCTGCATAAGATTCAGCATTTTCTTCTCTCCCCTTGCAGTCCTCCGTTGACACCCTGAGACTGTTTGCTAGGTTCCAATACAAGAGTTCAGCTGCTACATCACCCACCTTGGAAGTTCCCTAAATGACTTGCCTTGGCAGATGACTCTGCTCTTTAATTAGCCATACAGTACTGCTTCCCCCTGTTTAATATCAGGAAGTTTCCACTTGTTTCATCCCCTTCCCCCTCTTGGCCATAGTGCCTTCCTACTATTCTTTTCCCATTTTGTACTTTTGTTTGTTCCTTTTCCCTTCAATATGTTATCGGAATCCTGTCTCAATAGGGATTTTTGCCAAGCTGTCCGAACTCATCACCATATGTGGTATCTGAGATCTTTCTTAAACCCTTCTTGTCCCCTTATTTGGTATTAATGCATGTGCTCTGTATGAACTATTCCAAGACCCTGCATCATTAAGAGTCAAGATGAGTGTTGTTTGCAAATCTACCATAACTTGGAGAAGTCCTTATACTCAACTGTCTTAAGCATGTTAATGAGTACTCAGGGAGAATGATAATGTAAAAAATATAACCCAGCATCGTGCAGAAACCCCTTGTTTTTGGTATGAGGATGATTGCTGATCCTTTTCCCCCAGCAGACCTACCCTTTTCCGTGGGATTGTCTTTGAGTGATATATGTTCAAATTAATTTGCATCTCCTGGTAATATACTAATTGGTTGGTGAGTGAGCAATAGCCGAGAAACATTGCTTGGCAAGAGAAAGTCCAGTGAAAGGTTAAAGATAATCATGATGAAAATCTGCCAGCTGATAAATAAGAGTAGCTATAACACACTTTGGTTAGGTAGCCTGGCAGTGTATGCACTGGTGCATTTTCAAGACCGTAGCTATCTCTCAGTTCTGTTTGGCTAATCACATTATGTTGTTCTGGTGTTGCTCCTTCCCTTTACCCACTGCATACAGTCTGGGTTCTCCCTCCTTCCAATGAAGGTAAAGAACACATGACTCCACAGTTCCTGGCTCAGTTGTGACTCCATCAGGACACAGGTATTCTTAATTAGCCCAGCTGGGGGAAGCATTAGAGAACAGTGATGCACTAAGTTCTGTGGAACTAACTCTGAACCCAACAGGATTTCAGAGAAGAAATAAGTGGGAACTGGAGCTATAAAAAAAAAAAAAGTCAAAGGGAGATGAAACTTCAGCCTTAGAACTTCAAATAAAGGGTAGGGCATAGACAAGAGATGAGAGAAGGGAAGACGTTACACGTAGGCAAGTACATCAGCTTAAGCAAAG